GTCTGCAAACTCCCCCGTATTACATGAATGATTACCTAGTTTGGCAGAATCCTATATTCATTCATCTACAAGGTTTTACCATCTTATCTCATTTTGTTGTACTTACTTCCACATAGAAAGCTTTCAGCTTCCAATCCAGCCAAGGCATTCGATGGCCTGTTCCAGTTTACCTTTCTCTTGCCATCCATTTGTTACAGTTTCTGGCTGTTTTCCTTTTCAAATTGCCTTTTTTAAGAAATTCCCTCTGCAAGAACGTGTTATTACGGTATGTTTGATTCACACATTTGATTCTCTACATTAAAATTTGTTTTACTAGAGGACTGTGACCAATCCCTTTTTGTTTATTGCTGGACATCTGAGATTTGTGCTTGCCCTTAGTAAAACGTAAAATGGTCTTTTTCCGGTGATAGTGTGCAATCACATTTTTGTGAGGATGGATAGTATCGAAATATTACAATGCTTGGTCCATGTCAGGTTGGTGTTGGACACTAGAACTTGCCAGATACATTTTATTTATTTTACTTGTCAGATACTTACTTCTATACAAGTGTTTGAGGACTTCAAATTATCCGAGGGCATGAGTAACACCTGCATCTAATTAAGTTTGCTTATGATATTGATGCTCATATCAGTATAAGAACATCTAGGCTTGTTTAGTATAGGCATACATGCATATATTTCAAACCTATAATATTTTGTACATTGAGCTAGAGATAATTTTTGTGAAGGGTTACTAATGTTAGAATATTAATGATAAACCCAACCATATGTATTAGCTAATCTTTTAGATGAGGGGCGTTGAAGCTGGTCCTATGCATGAGTCTCGAGTCTATTTGATGCATGTTTCATGTGTTGATCTCGAGTCTATTCGTATTATTTATTGGAACAATCTATATATCAATCAGGAGCTTCTGTAAGAACACTGCCATTCTACTTTTGTGGATTTGTTAGTCCTGTTGTCCGCCCATAAGCATAAAGAGAAGAGAGAGAATAAAAAAAAAGAGAATCAATGTTCCTTGCTTCTAATTCCCTCCCTCATTTTATGACTTCTTTTCTCCTTTTTCTTATATTTATTTCACCCTCTGAATGAAATAAGTTTGCCCAAAAGAGTTTAATTTCATCCATGTTATTATCATATTGTAATTAAAATATATGAAAAAGACTCCTTTATAAATTGAAAGGAAAGCCTATAGTGTGTGAGATACTCACACCCCTATAATATATATATATATATATATGTATAAAATAGTTGCTTTTTCACTTTACATCGATATTTATAGTTGATTTATAAAGCTGCTTTGCTGTCCTAAATCTTTAGTTTCATTGTGCAGTTCCCACTGCTTAACAGGAGCGGGCTTTTGGGGAAAATGATGAGTGAATTCCGCAGCGAGGAGGGAAAAGATTGTGTTCTCCAGCTTCATGATATTCCTGGGGGTGCCAAGGCTTTCGAGCTGGTAGCCAAGTTTTGTTACGATATCAAGATAGAGCTGAATGCTCTCAATGTAGTGTCACTGCGATGTGCTGCTGAGCACCTGCTTATGACGGAAGATTACGTGGGAGGGAACCTCATAATGCAGACCGAGAACTTCCTGGTTAACCAAGTATTTGGCAGCTGGAAAGACTCGGTGAAAGCCCTTGAAGCATGCGAGAGTGTTCTTCCTCATGCAGAAGAGCTGCATATTGTCTCAAGATGCATCAACTCTCTTGCATCCAAAGCTTGTGCTGACCCAAGTCTTTTCAGTTGGCCCATGGTCGGCCACAGTACCACCTCCAAGAGCCCAGAAGGGAGTAGTAGTATTCTTTGGAACGGAATAGTCGCTGTAGGAGAGACACCAAGGTCGGGGATTGCAGATTGGTGGTACGAAGATGTATCATTCCTCAGTCTGCCTTTGTTTAAGAGACTCATCCTGGCTGTGGAGGCCAACGGCATGAAGCCAGAAAACGTTGCCGGAGCCCTCATGTTCTATGCTAAAAGGTTCCTGCCTGGTCTGAGTAGAAACTTGAGCTTCCTCGATGGCACTACTCGTATCCCTCCCGGTACGTCGGTTTCAGCACCGTCAGAAAGCGACCAGAGGGTCTTTCTTGAAGAGATTGTGGACCTCCTGCCCATGAAGAAGGGTGTGACTTCTACAAAGTTCCTTCTCGGCATGCTTCGCACTGCGATGATCTTACGTGCTGGTCCTTCCTGCAAGGAGAATTTGGAGCGGAGAATAGGAACCCAATTGGATGAAGCTGCACTGGAGGATATTCTAATACCGAACCTGGGCTATTCAGTGGAAACTCTCTATGACATTGACTGCGTCCAGCGAATTGTCGATCACTTTATGATGATCGACCAGTCATCGGTCGCCACTTCTCCAGCCATTGTCGATGAGGGGCAATTGGCAGCCTCGTCTCCATTGTTGACCCCATTGACCATGGTAGCAAAACTTGTGGATGGATATCTTGCAGAAGTTGCAGGAGACGCTAATCTGAAGCTGCCTAAGTTCCAGTCACTCGCTGCTGTCATTCCTGATTACGCCAGGCCTTTGGATGATGGTATCTACAGAGCTATTGACATTTACCTAAAGGTAATCAATCTATCTTCTGCTTTCTTCTATGTTTGTTTTTCTCTTTTTTTTATTTTTTATTCATTATATGTTATGAATGTTTTCGTATGGATTTGAACGTGAGACTTATTAATTGTTCACTAACCACTGGGATAACGTGCTAATAGAGACAAGTTTCTCTAACTTGTTAAAGAACAAAGAGCATGAGGAGGATAAAAATATACTTATATACATAAAGAGATAATGTTTTTTATTATTTTTTTCACAAAGTTGGAGAGGAAATCTGTCAGAATTCATTTCAATATAAATCACGAAACAGGATACAGAGAAAAAACATGAAAAGCAGAAAAATAAAACAAAATCACGAAACATAAATAATAATAATAATAATATTATTATTATTATTATTATTATTATTAATATAGAACTATCTTTGTAATTGTTTTTTTGCTTTCCGATTCTTGTACTTGTTTGAATGATCATCCCTCTAGTTGAACCAGTATGCCGAGAACAACTTGGTATCAAAAGCATATCCTTGTTTGATCACTATCGTGTTATAGAACTATCTTTGCAAATAATAATAATAATAATATAGAACTATCTTTGCAATTTTTTTTTTGCTTCCCGATTCTTGTACTTGTTTGAATGATCCCTCTAATTGAACCAATATGTCAAGACTAACTGCGTATCAAGCATATCCTTGTTTGATCACTGTCGTGTTATCATGCATGCTCGGATATATATTCCTCATAACTTCAGAGAGTGCATGTTTATATGCCGTAATTTGTTTTTTAGAGAAGTTCATGGGGTTTTGATTGCTATCCTTTATATGGATTCCTATTCAGTCACATCCATGGCTCACAGAATCAGAAAAAGAGCAGCTCTGCCGACTCATGAATTGCCAGAAGCTTTCCCTGGAAGCCTGCACGCATGCAGCTCAGAACGAAAGGCTCCCTCTCAGAGTCGTAGTTCAAGTTCTGTTCTTCGAACAGCTCCGCCTGCGAACCTCGATCGCGGGCTGGTTCTTTGTCTCTGACAACATGGAGAACTCGCAGGCTCCTCATGGTAACCTTATGCTCCAGAAGAACAGCAGTAGAGCAATTCGCGAAGACAGCAATCAGGAACAGGAGGATGACCACCACGACATGAGGTTGCGGGTTATGGAGCTTGAGAATGAATGTTTGAGCATGAAGCAAGAGATCGAGAAGCTGGGGAAGCCGAAAAGTTCATGGAACATCTTCTCTCGGAAATGTAGTATCGGGAGCAAGTCGCGTTCAGTAACCAACAGTAAATGAGTACTTTGTGGGATTAAGCTTCGTGATAGAGATAGAACACTGCAGGTGGCCATCATTTACAGTTAGTTTTTGGAACCTTCTCTTCGTTTCTCATTCGTTAACATTGTTGTTCTTGAAACTATATATTCCCAAGAGGTCGATCGGTCGATTACAGTTCCGTTCTTGTGCAACTTGCTTTACCCATTACACACATTCCTGTACACTGCTGTGGGTTTTACCAAATGTAGTCTCCTTACTCCAAATAAATATATATCCATCCAAAGGTGCACGAGCCTGCTGTCAATAAGGGATTTAGATGAAGACACTTTGTGTGATTAACGTTGAATGTTTACTGACAACTCCATGCAGCTGCTCCTACCTGTCAATCTCAATGTGAAGAAATAGTATGCGTGCAAGAGTTCTCAGAGGATAAAACAAACAGAAAGTTTGGGAAAAAGAAAAAAGAAAAAAAAAAAAAAAGGCAAGAAGAGAAAGAGAGAGAGAAAAATTAATTATCTTAATTTGAAATCTTCCCGATTTCTCTTTCTTAATCTATAAGAGAGTGTTTTGTTTCATAGAAGATTGATTGTACTCTCATTTTATAGTGAATTCCTTCTAGTTTACTTTACTTGTGATTTTTTTCCTTAATTAATTAAGATTTTTTATCACATTAAATCTTGATTTCATTATTTTAATTATCTTTTTTTTTAATCTTCAATTTTATTATTTTGAGCTAGATATTGATAGCTCACATTCCGTTTTGATTTTTGTTTGTATTAGAGGCAAAGATTCATAAGATCCAAAAGTTGCACATTTATTGTTCATGACAAATTGTGTGCAAAGATTCAAGTAGGAAAGCAAATCAAGCCCCAACAATGATGAGAAAATTCAAGATGGAAAAGTTTAATAAAAATATTTCTTTCTGTGGAAGATGAAGATGAAGATGAAGATGAAGATGAGGGCATATCTATAAAAGGCTAATTGCCGAACAGCAATCGGAGACAAACTCAAATATTTCACCCACATCAAAAGGTGGGAGGAGATGGATGGTAATACAATCGCTAACTTGCATTTAGCGTTTGCAGATGAAGTTCTATCTAGCATCGCAAAGAAAAAACTTAGGATGCTCTTTGACCAACAACACAACTAATTTAGTTTTTGATGTTATTGTTACTATAGTTTTGGAAGAGAAAAATATGCACAAAAACAAGAAAAGCAGATTGATAATGTTGTAGCAGGCTGAGGCATTATCTGCAACGAGAGGAGGAAGATCAATAGAGCATGGACCCAATGGGAGCAAAGATCAAAGTAGATTAAAAGTCTAGAAGAAAGAATAATATTAAGTGATATAATTGTGGCAAGATAGGGCACATTAAGGAGTAACGAAAGAACAAGAATTAATCCAAAATATTCTCAGAGTGAAGGCCAAGTGTTCTACAGTGAGACAATAATGATTTCAAGAGGAAGAAACGAGCTCGATGATGTCTAACTAGTAGATTCAATAGTATCCTAACACATAACCTCTAGGAGAGAATAATGTTATCAATATCAATCTCTCTTAGGAGGATTCATGTTAGGACTCTAGCTAGGAGAGTCCTAATTGAGAGGGACATTCATGTAAAACCTACCTAAGCCGACCCCTATTAAAGAGGTGAAAAGGCCGGCTAGGGTTAGGAGGTTGTTTCTTAGAGAAGAATTAGGAGTTGTAAAGGAATATGAGTCTTGAGTAGAAGTCCTATTAGGAGTTGGTTAGAAGTAGGAGTCTTAAGTAAAAGTCCTATTAGGAGTTAGGGTTTAGAAACCCTATAAATAGCCATGTATTCTCCTCTTTTGATAAGCAATAGATGAATCTTTTCTGCAGTCTTTGAGCAGCAACTTGGAGGGAGGAACCCCTATAGAGTTCCAAGGAGGCCGATCCCCTAAAAAGATCAACCCCAAGTTTAGAATCTGCAAGGGTTCTATCACTTGGTATCAGAGCAGCATTCTTGGCATCTCGCTGCCCTTCCACAGCCATCCATCAACCCTCCACAATCACCCAAAGCAATTCCCACAATTGCTTAAAAGATCGTCGTCAAATTTCGGCGTCATCTCCACCACCACGGATCATCCTTTGATCTCCCCGTGAATTGCAACAGGTTCTGGTTTTCTACCTTACTGCTGTTGTAATTTAGTTATCCATATTTGAATATCTCAAAAAAATTATTCCTATATTGCTACATAAACTTTTCGTCATAAAGTTTTCATCTCTACGACGAAAGATACATTGCATAATTCCAACCGTATAGCACCGTCTGTTTGTTCTTGCTACTGTATTTTTTCTATCCAAATCTCTACGAATTTTTATGATAGCTTTGGCACTTCCTAATAGTGGATTTTCCTTTAGTTTCATCAAAAAATTCTCAATATAAACTATTGATCTTTTACTTCCAATCTGCTATACTTAAAAATCTGTGCTGTAAAAAATTTCAGTCGCATATTGTTGCCTTAACCCATCTATTTGTAATCTTTTTTGAATGAAATTTCTTATACACTTCATAGATCATCTTGGCTTCTATCTAAGATTGATCTATTAAGGAATTCATCTCTAAAAATAATTTTGTGTTGCTGCAAATTTTCATCGTAAACCGCTGAAATTTTTCGATGAGAATTCTGCTATCGCAACTTGCACCAATTTCCTTGATGTTATACTGCCGAAATTTTCTTGATTAAATTAGTCATACTTGCTGTCATATAAACTGTGATTTGACTGATGTTTCAAAGATGTGGAAAAATCTAATTTCTTTGAGTTTTTTAGATTCTTAATGTTTTGGCTATAAGGTTAAAGATAAAATTTTAAAAGTTACTTGGTATTATATAGTTCTAATGAAAAAAAGATTACATGAACGATTATACCATTTGGAAGAAAGTATAATAAAGACCTCAAAGAACTAGAAATATGTTATATATCAAGAGATGGTAGATACCTACGATAGTGAGCTTCCTTCATGGTGTAGAAAATAAAAAGTAGTCTTTATAGTTTCTATGATGTAGATGATTACGAATGAAAAGATCCTAGTGTTAAGATTGACAATATGAAGGTCTTTCACCAAAAGCAAGTAATGTTATTGATTCGATTACAACTACACAAGTTGCATTGGTGGGCTTGTTATTGATTGGTTTGTATAGCTGCAATGAATTCTTTAAGCCAATGATTCAATTTTTATAGGAGGCAAAAAATAGAAAAATACTCATAAATGTGAAAATTTTAGGGTCGATAAGTATTTTAGAAGTCATAATTATATTCAAATTAGTTGAAAGAGTTCTAATTAAATTAAATTTTTTTTATGAATTAGGATTTATTTTTATAAATACATATTGAGTCTTAAGGTTTTAATAAGAGAGAGAGTCAAGACACTTTGAGTGCTCCTGAACATAATCTCTAGGAATTTTAGAGAAAATTGAAAGAAAATTTTTTTATATTCATGTGAAAGGATTTAAAGGGGAGTCATATTTAAGTGAAGATAATTCAAGTGTCTTGTAAGATTTAATGTTCAATTTTGGTATGTTTTAGAATGTTGATCTATCGTGGATTTTATTTTTAGTTTTCAATTTTTTTTCCACTCCCTCACTAACACTATTAAATTCTCAAACAACTTAAAGCAACGTAAACCGAAGCACATGAAAAATCTAAACTGATACTAAATTTTAAAAAATAAAATTTAAGTAAGAAAGAACAAAATGGAGGAACTTATGTCAAAATTGGGTGCAACATTTAGATAATCAGGTCATATAGGATGCTTAGTTGAATTTGTTGTGTTCTTACTACTCAGTTGATTATAAACACTTAGAAAGTCCAGTTAGAAAATATAACCTAAGATAAAGTTTCCCATTAGAATTTGTTATGTTTTTCTATTCTTTTATTAAGCACGTGATGCTGTATTCAGGTTTCCCAACAATATTAACATATCTAATGTTTATTTAAATATTTATAATTATAAAGGACTAATACCATTCTTATATTAGTATTGTTAACTTTGTATACAACTCTAACTCTAAACCGTAAAGATATATTATCCCATCATATAATTATTTTAAATTTTTTATCATTATGAATATTATTTTACTTAATATTATTTAAGACTACTATTTTAATATAATTTTATAAATATATTAGTCCAAACCACTTTATCGATTACGAGACCAATATAATATAAAATATATTTTAATATCTTATAATTGATAAAATATTTATTATAATTTATTTCACATAAGTCTATCATCTTAGGCTATTTTAAAACTACTAATCAAGTAAAACTTAATAATATAAGTTACAAATAATATTTACTAATTTTTAATGCTAATTATATAAAAAATATTTAATAATAAAAAATGATGATAATAATTATTGAATCAGTACAATAAAACCCATATAATGGTAGCATCATGATAAGACCAAAATCACATTTTTATGTGAAAATAAATATTATTTTATTATTTAAAACATATGTTTGTGAATTTTCATAACTACATAATTATCCAAAAAAAGTTAGAATTTAAGAATCACAAGTAATAAAAATTTTACAAGTATATCATATGAAAAAATATAAATATCCATAATTTATGATTTTTTAAATTTTATAAAAAAATTTAAATTAAATCAAATAGACCTTTAATTAGGTAGCCAAGAATCAGATTATCCAAATTGGGCCAAACGAATTGGGATAGATTATCCAATCAATCAAACCAGTCATAATTGAGGAGTCAAAAGTAGGGTTTGGATGAAAATTAAATCTAAGCAGTCAAAATTAGGGGGTTTAAATCAGGTTAAAATCAGATTGACCAAGTTCAAAATTAAATTTGAGTCAAAATCAGATTTGAGGCAAAGTCACGGTCTTTGATGTTGGACCAACTTTGCCACTTAGGCAGAAGCGCAACCGTCTCTTACCGTGGCTTCCTCACCGCAGTATCCCACTGTGGCATCTCTGCCTAGCACGGCCTCCTCTCCGCGATGGACGACCTCGCTCCCGTGCCGGCGACGCCGTATTGTCGTTGCGCGTCGTCATTAAATTAACGCGACCAATTCCTTACCGCGGATGGCCGCGGTGAGGAGAAGCACTCAAACCAACGCCATGGGCCACCTCCATGGTGCCCTAAGCCCTCAATCCGGACGGCGCCCACTTCTGTCCAAAAAGAATGACAACGATCAATAATTTACTTGTCAATTTTGAAGTAAAACACTTTCTAAGATCACTCCATGTCAGATTCCACACACACAAGTATTTACACAAGTCGGCTAGCTACATCTCTCGTCAACTTTCAGGTAGTTCCTTGTTATGTATATCGTCTCTATTTAGACATCTAGTACTTGAGTGTACTGTTGTATAGTTAGTAGATATTATGTTCGAGTTTATGTGACAGCGTTTACATCATTTAATGTAATATATCTAAATTAATTTAAAAATTCTTCTACATGTATCTACTGATCTTCTCGATTAACTGAGACGAAAAGAAACCGGAAAGAGAGGTCAACCACTTCGTTCTCAATGTAAAATGAACGTCGATGCACGTTAAAGCGAGAGAGAGAGAGAGAGAGAGAGAGAGAGAGA